CCATGGGAAGCATATAGAGCACAGTTTGAGCTCCTGGTAGAAATGAATGGATGGACAGAGGAACAGAAAGCAGTATATCTGGCAACAAGCCTGAAGGGACAACCACTGGAAATACTTGGATAGTTGTCAGCAGACGACAGGCACAGCTATAGAGCACTTTTAGCTGCTCTAAAACTAGGGTATGGGACTCAAAATCAGTCCAAAGTATACAGCACTGGGTTTAGAACGAGAGTCCATGCTAAAGGGGAGAGCCTGCAAGAGCTGGCACAGGATTTGGAAAGTATGGCACACAAGGCCTACCGAACTGCACCACCCGATGTCCTCAAATTGTTGCTTAGGGATAAGTTTGTAGATATCTTGGACAGTCCACAACCGAAGATACAAGTGAAGCAAGCACACCTCTTTACTATTCAAGATGTACTGGACAGAGCTCTTGAATTCGAATCCTATGTTAAGTCCAGCACAGAGGTACCAATGCTGGTACAGTTATTGGGATTCAAGGCCAGAAAAGGGCAGCTTTCAGAGAGGTTTGAGGGACTTTGCTGGCACTGTAACAAACCAGGGCACAAGAGAGCTCAATGTTGGCAACTTCAACACAGGGAAGATGCCATGACAGGAAAGGCTGCTACCCAGAAAGGTTGTTGGAACTGTGGGGAGCAAGGACATATGAGGAGCCAGTGTAAGAAGAATACTGCCAATAAGTCAGCCTCGGGAAACCAGTAGTGGTTCGGGTTGAGGGATGCCAACCAACCTCTATGGTGAAAGTCCCAACAGCTAGGTGTAAAATGCCAAGCATACATAGTGTCTATGTAACAGAAAAAACTGGATGGCCAAAGGTGCAACTTTGTCATAGCTTCTGCATCTCAGCAAACCCTTGTGAGTATCAAGATGCTAGATCACAAAGGAGTACCAAAAGTCATACAGAAGCTCTGCGGTGTGACAGGATATTATGCAAGGTTGTGGGGACCAGTGTGGGTGACTATTGAGCTCATAGGCATGAAGGACAGACACAAAGTATACTTGGCTGGCATTGAAGACCCATGCATATTAAAGTTGGACTACTTACTACTGAGGATATGTGTGTTGTTAACTTCGATAAAATGACGTTTGGGAACAATAAAGGCCAAATTCCGGTAAGTGTTAAAAGAGAGATTGAACTAACCAGGTGTCATCAAGCTGAAGTCAACGTGACTGAAGGAGTTGATGATGGTAAAGTGGAACCAGGTATAGATATTAAAGCAGAGCAGGAGAAAGACTAAGATTTGAAGCCAATAATTGATTTTTTAAAAGCAAGTGCTTTGCGCCCTGCTTGGGAGAAGATGTTTAGCTTAAGCCCTGTGACAAAGAACTATTGGGCACAATGGGACCAGTTGAAGCTTAAAGATGTTATTCTTGTCAGGAGGTGGGAAACTGCAGATGAGAAAGTGACGACCTGGCAAACAGTTATACCGAGAAAGTTACGGGAAGTTGTGATGCGTCAATCCCATGATAGTTTAACAGGAGAACATCTCAGAGTTAAGAAGACATTGAGTCACCTACGACAGATATTTTACTGGATAGGTATAAGGCAAGATGTGGAATGGTGCAGGACATGCAGTACATGTTGTGCTTAAAGGGGACCCAAGCACAAGAGACATGCTCCAATGAAGTTATATCAAGTTGGCATACCAACAGAAAAAGTAGTTGTTGACATTGCTGGTCTTTTGCCTCAAACTCGTGCTGGAAACAGGTATATTTGTGTGGTGATGGATTATTTCACTAAATGGCCTGAGGCATATGTAATAC